CTTCTTTTACTATTTAAGCACAACAATTTAATTGAGATTCTTAGTGTATTAGAGCCCAAAGAGCTTAGACTCTTCTAAACTATTTTATTAAGAGCTTCAACTTTCTTAAGCTTATATTCCATAAAATATCAAGGTTATTTTTGAAAACAAGAGTATCACATTTATTGTAATAGCTAATAGATTTCAGCATTAAAACAAGGTTCTTTGTTCACTGTGTGGATTTTTGTGTTGTTGGTGTACAGCCACTTAAAAAAACTGAATAATCATTAACAGACTAGCAATCTTTTATATTTAGAAGTACACTGTAGTCATCACCTATCTTCTTAACATTGAGCTCCTTAAGTCTCTCAATGGAAAGCATTTTCTCCTGTCCAAAAGATTTCTATTTCTCTTTCTGATTTTTCAACAACCCTGTAAAGATCGATAATTTTACAAAACAGTTCAGTGGCAACTTAATAACTATGCAGAGAATAAAAACTCCTTTATTCTGTTTCAGTATATTCTTTGTTCTGTCTCTTCTTACAGAAGATCTAAGAAAGAAAGCTAAATTACTAGTTCAGTTTAGCTCCCAGATCCATTTCAGAGTAGGTTCTTTGTAGGATAGAGTTCCTATATGATAAGTCCAAATAGACTAAAGTCTAAATAAGATCTCCAAATAGTTTATTTTAGACTCATTTAAAATGCTTATTTCAACAGTAGATCAATGAATTATTTACCTCATCTAGATCACTCTGCATAATTTCAATGTCAGTACTATTTACTGTTTCACCAATCTTCATATCACTTACACGTTTTATCATTTTAGCTTTACATTTACTTGCATATAATCAACAGAAATATTGAATACATTGAAGTTTGGCCTACAGATTTCTCAGAATTTCTCTGTCAATATTTTTATGTAGCGATGACAAATATCTTTTCAGATCTGTTCACTAGTTACATCTGAACCTATGTCATTTGGACTATTGAATTTTTAAAAACAGAAAAAAGTAATACTACATTAAGTGAAAATTCTATAAAAGTCCTCATATATTAAGTTCTTACATTTACCTTTACTAAGAAAAGTTATTACCACCTCAAATAATAAAGTCAAAGCTATTATTTTTTTAGCTCTATTTTTCCTTTAAAAAGAATGTGTGACTGATATTAGTTATTTTCTGAGCAGGACTCATGCCAGAGTAGCTATTTTGGTAGTCACAGAGAAGACTTATTTCATTGCCTCTACCTGAATTGAAATTGAAATATTAATATTTGTAAAGATTTAGGGAATTGTTGTACTGATACTATTTAAAATATACAGAATATTTAACAAGTTATTCCTAGATGTTCTCATTCTCCCTGGTTACTAACAACTGAAAAAAAAAAAAATGGCTTCCCTTATGTAGTTCCAGCACTTAATCCTCTTCCTTTGCAAACTGAATGGAAATATTTATCAAATATTTCTGCTCCTTCAACATCATAATTAGATAGTTTACAAGTTTGTCTAATAATGACTAGGTTAACATATTTCATGATCTTCATTTAAACTCTATATTACACTTATTTTGCTGAAATCTACAGTATTCTCTTCCCTGGCCCTTGACACTTACTTTCTCCTATTAATCTTCTATATTTAGTCAAAAGTATCTTAAGAGACTAGGAGCTATTGCTTCTGCAAAAGCAACTTCTCATATTCATTTCTTGACAATTTTCCTTTTAATTTCTGCCCTTTATTTGGAGTAGTGCAGGTTTATATGTAAACTTTTTTTAAAAAAACTGATAACTGATGACAATCCAACTCTTAAATAATCTCTCTAAAAACAGTACCTTTTTTTTTTCCTGTATAAATTCAGTCCATTTTCCCCTAATTTGAGTTGTCTGAGAGTCTGTTATTACACTAAGACCATACTCTTTTTGTGTAAATTTAATGTAAGAAGATCGCAGTCACTCTCCAACAAACACTAACTTCAGCATGGTTATTTTATTTTATTTTTCAAATCAGTCTTGCATTAAATGCAACTTCATTCTACAATTGAGTTATCAGTTATAACTTTTTGGAAGTTCTATTTATGTATTATTGAATCTATGAGATTGCTGACAGATCATCAATCAAAGTCATATTCTCCTAGAACTTATTTTTTCAGTCTATAGATATTTAATAGATTTTTCTTGTGACTATTTGCTCATAAATGTGTATGCATACTATTTTACTTTGTTTCACAGAAGAAAACTTTCAGGTATATTCACGTACATGAAAATTCACAGAAAATAATTAAAAACAGTAGATTTAATAAGAGCATTATGGGAGAGTACAGAAAAGATACAAAGATATTCCATGTTCAAGATCAAACCAAGAAAAAAAAAAAGAGAAGGAGAAGGAGAAAGAGAAAGAGAAAGAGAAAGAGAAAGAGAAAGAGAAAGAGAAAGAGAAAGAGAAAGAGAAAGAGAAAGAGAGAAAGAGATAAGGCTGATTTACTGAAGACTACTGAAAACCTACAGAAGTTAGCTTATCAAATTGTCTGGTCATAAACTATTAAACCAACAGAACAAACACACTAAATGAGTAAGACATTCAAATCTGTACCCTGCTGGGTGCTGTGACACTGAGACACAAAGAAAGAGAAAGCAGAGAACTAGTAATCTTCTAATTAGACAACCTACTACTTGGACAACCTTCCACATAAGATGGAAAGATGCCAAAGGTAAAGATATGATTACTTCTAGTGTTAACACATTTGAGAGCAATGAGAAGAAAAAGACAATTCTAAAAAATGCATGCTAACATGGTACAGACAATTTCATCGCACGTGAAAATGGTAGGTAATATTCTGAATCCTTCTTAGATACAATAATAGTATCACAACTGTATTCCAAACAGAAGTTTACATTTATTGCATTTCTAATTTATGAATTAACATAACAAAATATTCTGTAGTGTTCCTACGAGTACGTAGCAGAAGTTCCAGAAAATCACAGCAATGAAAGAATGGAAATATTTCTGGCAGTGTAAAGTACTGGCATGATTTAATTCAAATACTTATCAAATATGTACATTGTTATATAAAAATATATGAGGGAATCAGTTATATTTGAATACCTTAAATAACTAGCATAGTTCTCATGGTTTTCATTAATGCTGTATCGCTAAAACCGTGTTATGACCTGAGACACAATACTTCAGCAAAATAGTCTCCCCAAGCTGCTCTTTTAAACCTGTCTCTTCCATGTTCCCTCATGAGCAGTAATAAGATGTCACTGCCCCAGCAGAATACAGTGGTGGAACATTCACCACTCATCACTTGCTTGTGACATTAACATACCAAAGAGAAACAAATGGAGCTTTCTATCTTCCTTGAACTTTGTCTACAATACGAAGAAGAGTTGATACACAAACACCCAAACGAAGATGATTTGAAACACTAGCATATGCTCTTACATACTTAGATCAATTTCATTTCAACTAAGACTTCAATTATTTTGATATGACTTTAAACAGAATATTATTTTTAGGTACTTTAAGTAGGCATTTGTTTACAAATAGTACCATGTGGCATCATTTTGATATGCTGCTTGAAATGTTTCCTTAAGATAATTATTGCTTCTTAACATTAGCATTAACTTGATGTTAAGACCAAGTACCTGGCTGCTAAGGGAAAAAAAAAAATAGAAAAAGAAAAATTGCTTTTGGTGTGTTATTGATAGAAATGACTTAACTCCTTGGTACTTGCCTAATGAGGCTGATGATTGAAATTTGTCACTGTTTCAAAGCCAATTTTAATCTTTTGAATGTTCTATGTATTTACATTTATTTTTCTGACATGACTTTTGAATATAATTACGTATTACAAATATGCCACCAGCACAGCACAAAGTCAAATGTGACATCTTTCATGTTTTAAATTTATTTTTTGACAGATTTTATACCATCTAACAGATACTGTCAAAAAGCTTCAGGATAGATGTCTTTCATACAGAACGTATAATAGACTTTTGTCATTAAAAACAGAAAATATGTTTACAGCATTAAAGGAAATTCATCATTTCTTATGCAAATATACTTCTTGACAAAATACAAAATACTAGTTATCATTAAATTTCAGCTGAAGTGAGTAATCTCCAGGACTTTGTGATAAATGCTAAAGTATTTAATCCACAAGTCAGGAAAGTTACAAATAACAATCCTATAAAATTTTAATAAATGTAAATAAAATGAGAATATGTCCCATAAAGTGTACTGACCAAAGCAACTGAAAATTCATGCTTTATAAGTAGTTTATTATATATATATATAAGAAAATTAGAAGGGATGCAGAGCAATCAGTACTCAAATGCAGGTGTTTAATACAAATAATGACCAAATAGACATCTTTTCTTTCATTTGTCAAAAACTGAACCATATGCCAGTTTGTAGTATGTCACAGTCTTGAATAAACGTGAAAAAATAATGGACTCTGTAAAAAAAAACAAACAAAACTAAAATAATCAAGATTTTATTAAAGATAAAAGATTTTATAAAAATGTGTCCTAAATATCTGGTATTGTGTTTCAATCTGGAATCTTTATTTATCCCTTTCTTACAGAATGATTCACACTTAAACTCACATACTTGCATTTGTCCTTTATGAGAAAAAAGTTCACCTGTGTATTTTTGACTTGCTAAGATAAACATTTTAAGAAGATTTTTTTAATAACTATATAAACACATATATATATCTCAAAAGTTGTCTACATTTTACGCTGCAAATTCACATGCAGAATTGTTTTAATCAATTGTTGCTAAATTAAGTTAATTAAATATTTTAATTTAAAATTGTTAAAAACTTCACAAGAGCTTGGGCACATAATTTTACCATGAGAAACACCTCATGTTTGTGGAAAAGTAAATTCTTTACGATATTTTTACTTTCTAGTTCTTCTTAATACAATCTATGTAACTGTCCCTGTGAACAAACCACTTCAAGATTCTGTGCAGGTTAGAAAATACTTCAGAAAACTAGTATCACACAATAAAATCCACTCACCTTCTCTTCGATTCAGCCTTGCAAATCCGGGGCTGTGACTGCTAGACAACTCTGATGAACTGCTGAACGATGACTGAGGCAAGGCAGACACCAGTTGATCATCACAATTATCTGACAGAAAAAGATATCACATTCAAGTTAATACAATGCACACAACTTTTTGGAACTACTACTGAAGAAAATGTTAGAAAAATAGCTAGATTAACCCCGTATCTAAGAAGAGCATGCCTCAAAAAAATTCCCATTGCTGTATTACACACAAACCCATCAGTGCAATCATATTAAATTCAGCTACTTCTTCCAAAACAAAAACAATACAAAAATCCTCTTGCCTATCTTCAGAACCGCAAAAATGATAAAATGGAATTTTCTTTTGTTTTGCCAATGATGTTGCATGTTTTTGATACGGAAGCAGCATAAAATTGCAGTTATTAGCATACAAGTCCTGACACTCAGTAGAATGAAACCTAAGTGTTCAAAAACACGACTTAACTGCAGATCACAGTCAATGGTGCATAAGCAAGAAAATGGTAATCAATACTTGGGATGTTAAATGTTTCTCCAACTCAATTACTATACAGGGCATGTGTTCGTTCTCCATTTAAATTTGCAAAATATAAATTGAGAATCAATATCTCTTCTAGTTTTAGCTGAAAGAACCTAACTTAAAAACACCAGAAGAAATATAAGCAAGTCTGTTCCTGGCTTCCTGGCTGTAGTATACTGGCATCTATTCTTTAAAATAAGAAGGAAAATTATAAAAACTAACAGTCTTATGAAATGGTTGACCTTCTTTGGGACAAGCATGTTCTCTGGATGCAACTGGTACAAAATAATAACTGTCTTCTAACCTTTCTGTCCATCTACAAAATCTCTACTACAGAAATCATGAATATTAGTTAATAAAAAAGTCTTTTCCTGACTCAGGAATAATTAACTGTTTCTGTTGAATAAATAAGGATGTATCTAATTAGTAGCAATACATTTATAGGCACTATATAAAAGTCTTAAGGACCTCTTTCTTAAAAAAAAAATTTTAAAAAAAGTGGGCTATTTAAGCAATACACTTCCTTGTCCTACAATTATGTATCTTATGCTTCCTGTTAAGGAAAAATAAAGTTCTCATTAGCACATCTAGTCAGTACTAAGCAAGGGGTTATATTTCTCAGTCCTGATATTCTCACATATTACTTCTACCAAATTCAGAAAAATTCATTTTTGTGAAAGGAACAAAAGTACTATTTACTATTCTATAAATTTATGTCCCATAATACAGACTGCAAAAATGATATAATTACTCTTTACTTACCACAAGCTAGTTTTTTATGTTGCTACCAGGAGACTGCATTTGTGAAAGGAGTTCTGAAGGAAAGGTGAAAGGAACTGTACTGCTTGGGACACACCATTGTGCTTACTGTCCCAAGTAAGCATAGAAGAAGGAAAAATAATTAAGGAAAATCACATTTCATCTCAAATGGACTGCACTGGTAGGCCTTAGAAAGGGATCTTATTAGTGAAAGGTTTCTTTACAGCATAAACAGAAAAAAAAATTAAAGAGAAATTTTAATTCTAGCCCATGTAGCTGTTCTTGTTTTCATCAGAAAGCTACTCACACTGAGGATGAACGGAAGAACCTCAAGAAGCACTGATCTTTATTCTACTGTCAACACGTACATTTTAAGCCTGAATACCAGAAGGAAAGCAGGGAATGGTATTTTCACTAACGCCTGATTACATAACCTTTCACCTGCTTCATATTTTCAGGCTTCATTGTTTTAGTAAAGTGATTTATTATGAAATGAATCACTGAGAATAATATGCAGCTACACTAGCAGCTACACAGCAACTGGACACTATTCTTACAATTTCCCTGGCTCAGCCGAAGGCCTCATGCCTTAGAAACAGTTTTGTAATTCCAAAGGGAAAGGTTTTAATAAATAAATAAATAAATAAACAAATGGGTGAGTCATCTGTCTTTTTAGTGTTTGCCTGACAACTGCACTTCCCACCTTTCTTCCTTCGTATGTAGACATTAGGAAGTTTTCAACAGTGTTGTATTACTATTCCAAGAAGCTTCAATATTCATATTACTGTCAGCCTCCTATATTGCTTTGAGATGTCTGCAGAAGAACTGAGTATGCGCCTATATATTATTGGTGACATAATGATCTATGTCAAGCTCAATTTGTATTAGAAACATATGGTTGAATGAATTCAACAACAGTCGAATATAGACAACATAATAGCCAAAAGTCAACAATGCAAGGCATTTTTTTGTTGTTGTTGATTTTTTTTTTGTTTTACTAAATATTGATTCAAGAGAAGTGAGTCATATACCATGGGCAGATTTACTCTTTGGATACTTATACATTTATTTTGCACCAGCTGCTGTGCTTTATTTCAGGAAAATAATTTGATAGCAACTTATTCTATATTGCTTATCATTCCTAAAACACATTCTTGTTCCAGGATACGATGTTCAATTTATCTCAAAATTAGGTAAGAATTCCAAAATTAAATACAAAACAGTTTGCAGAACTTGGCAGGAACCAGATGGTCAGTACTGACTTGTTTCTCAAATTTAATAGAAGCAAATGAAAACCTGATCTGTACATTATGACAGCTCTATATTGCTTCACTACACTGAATGAAATACTATGCAATGAAATAAATTGTCGGAATTCAATATTGGGCCTTTAAACAACTGGTCAGTTCTCTTTGTCACCCTTTATCTGCACAGCGTAATAGATCTGGATGCCAGAGGTCATCTAGCTTTCTAGGAATGCTTAACACAGCCCAGTTTCATGGTTTAGTAAATACATAAGTTGTCTATTCTCATATGAGTTTTAAAACAAATTTTTATTTAAAAGCAATGTATCATTTCCCCTTTTTTTTGATAAATCTTACTTTTAAATAATAAACAATTGTCAAGAATACTGAAAATGTGAACATAGCAGAGTTTTATGTAATTGTTTTGCAAGCAAATTGTGGTTCAGGCCTGTGGAACAATTTACAGTCACTATCCAGAGAGGAGAGTAATTGTAAAATAGGTACTACTGGAAACCTCTAGAGCTGTTCTTTGATGTAAGTTTTAACAGTTGCTATTTAAAAAAACAACATGTCTGAAAAAAAGTAGAATTCATTCGGACATATGGGAATTATTCTGGGCATAAGAGGCAAAAAAGCTGAAGTACAACAGGTAAAAAAAAAAAAAAAAAGAACAAGAATGTGTAAGTACAGGAGAGGAATATACAAATAAATGTTATTTGTTTCATCAAAAAAAAAAAAAAAAGTAATCTAAACCATTATCCTTAAGAATAGCATTGATTTTAAGAATAGTGTTGATTTTATCAAATTTATTAGGCTCATGTAATATGGGTTAGGGAAGTGGTGAGTGACGTGGACTGAAAGCCACCTGAAGTGCCAGGCACATAGGTCTGTGATCAGTGCCAAAAGGTCCAACTCCCAAGTGGCCTCGCTAGCGGTGTCTTACTGTTGGTGACTGGGACCTATACTTTCTACACTCTTCCTTAGTGACCTGGGATCCAAGCCCTGGGGATATCAGCATGCCGGCAGATGATACGAAACTGAGGAATAGCTGATACACCAGATGGTTGTACAGATGGACCCTGAGGAGGACAGAGAAATGTACGGAAAAGAATCTCATGAAGTTCAACAAGGAAGGTGCAAAACTCTGTACTTGGAAAAGAATAATTTTATGTACCAGGACAAGCAGAGTGCAAACTGGATAGAAAGCAGCTTTGTAGAGAAGGACTTAGGAGTCCTGATGATCAAGCTGACCACAGGACAGAAATGCATACTCATGGCAAAGAAGATCTGGGCTTCAGTAGAGGACCATCTCCAGTAAGTCAGGGGATGTGATCCTCCCCCTGCATTTAGCACTGGTGAGAGTACACTTGGAGTGTTGTGTCCAGTGCCAGGCTACTCAACACAAGATATAATAGACTGAGTTCAGCAATGGTTCGTAAAAGTCATTAAAGGACTGGAATGTCCGTGAAATGACATTAGGCTCAAATGACATTAGAAAAGAAGGCTCAAAGTGCTCCTCTTATCTGTGTTTATAAATACATGAGGGGAGGACATGAAGAAAATGAAGATGGGGCCAGATTCTTCTCAGGGATGACCAGTAACAAGACAAGAGAAATAGGAACAGACCAAAACATAGGAAATTCCATTTGAACATAAAAATAAGTAAGTAAGTAAATAAAAACACTGCAACAGGTTGTTCAGAGAGGTGGTGGACATTCCATACTGAAGATAATTAAAACCCAAATCATCACCCTGGACAACCTGTTCTGGCTGCCCTTACATGATCAAATGATCTCCAGAGGTATCTTCCAACCTCAACCACTCTTTGGTTCTGTATAACAACTAAAGCTTTTTAAAAGCAGTAAAATAGTACTTCTTGCATCTATAAAATATGCATATCATTTCTCTTCCAACTTCAAATATGATCTCATTATGTAAATTCCAAGTAAACAAAGAGATTATTCATACAGTGGTATCATAGTTTATTTAGAATATGCTATATGAGCTATAACAGATGGAGTTCAAATAGGATATCATAGGTAAAGCAATTATCACATTCATTTTTATAATAATGTAGCTGATAAAATAAATTTTATGTCTTCAACCTGAGGTATTTCGCTAAAATGATGATGAGGATGATGAGGATCATGATAATTGAGAATGAAACCACCTGAGATTTATTTCAGAATATATAAGTATATGATTTTGTTTCCATGAAGAGGAAGAAAAAAAGACCAATCTTATTTATAGACATTAAGCCTCTCATCCACTACCACCAAAAATATACAGGACTGTTTTTACTGTCCAGCTAACAGTCAGATTCCTGCATGTCATCAAAATTTCCAACTTAAGATCTAACAGAGTTCCATAAATTTTGGATGTATTTCTCTGAGTGCAAATTACTCATTTACTTAGTAAACAAAGAGTGGGCCTCAACGAATGCAATGGATATTCAAATTCCCTATAAAGCAGCAGAGGCTGTATTGCATGAAAAGAAACTCACCTTACTGAAGCCCTAACATCCTTCAAACTAAAATATCTCAAAACAAGAGCATGAAGAA